AAATTCTTTTTTTCCCAGACCTTAGTATCCTGACCTGTGGCAACCAGGTCAAACAGGCACAAGTACTGATTCTTACTAGTGATTATTGCAAGCAACTTAATTCATTTAGACTGCTAGTTCAACATGACAAATACTCTGCAACTTTATTGATTTCAAATCTTTGTAAATAGAACATTTGACAGAGTTTAAAAACTTGCCACAACATCTGTTTAGAGCTATCTTCTTTCAAAACAGTTACTATTGTATATGTTGTGAACCTACACCAATCTGTGCTGTAGTTGTAAAACAAGATGATTGCATGTAATAACACTAAATTGACCTATGATGAAAATGTTCAAGACAACTTCAATCAGTGTAGCTGGTTTAGTTCCATTTCATGCCATTTGGTATCGATTAATGAGTATGATTAGCTCTTGCATTGGCTGTGATCTAATGATCCTCACATTTTAAGCCAATTTCTGGCATTGTTGGGAGTTGAACGTTTGAAACAAATTTAAATTTTCAATAAAGTAATGGGGACAATGCTTTCTATTCAGACAATTTTCCAACCTCTTAAGGAGGCCTAGAAAGCGATCACCCAAGGTAGTGTGGCTCCACTCCCAGGCATTAGGGTGGGACTCACAGTCATATAGCAAGAGTGTTTTAAGATGATATGACTTCAATGGTTTCAGGTCAAGGTCTTCTCGAAGAACCTTCACTATTCGAAGAACTTGCTTTCGGCAAGAACTGGCTTCGCCTTGTCCACTCTGGAGGAACAGCTTCTTTTCAGCTGCTGAGAAAGAGTAACGCCACAGGAATCCTTTGTCTCGGTCGGCAATGTCTTGCCCCTTTGGTTGCTTAGCTACCAGATGACAGCCTTCTTTCACAATATCTTTCACAAGGTCTTGCTTAGGCCAACCTTTTCATAAGTTAAAACAACAGCCAATGTCAGAAACTTTCCTGAAAAATCATTTGTACAGCTAGAATAATACAATCTTTAACAAAATATTTAGTGTTACAATGATGGGAGCCAGTAACTAAGAAGCATGAGGAATGCTTTGTATAATTTCATGAAAGTTTCTTCACATTTTAGTGATCTCAGTGCATGTTTGAATTGTCTTTCAATGGTAGGTGCTAGCACAGGGCGTAAAATTGC